GATCCACAATCTGGGTGCTGTTTGTTTCTTCTCCCAAGCATCACGAGCAGTGATAGCAGTGCTGGGCTAAATCTCTGTGTGTCCCAGAGGCAGCTTTTGGTGGGCAAACACTGCTCAGGGGGCACTGTCCACTCACAGGTCACTTCAGGCTGCCCACCAGGACCTTTGTCCTCTTGCTTTTGGTGTGCACTGGGGGTGATGAGTTAATGATCTCGTGTTTGTTAGGCCAAGRATAACCCGTGGTCACAGAGCTGCAGGAGAGGAGAGAATGTCTGATCTGTGGGAGAAAAGCTGAAAGGCCACAAACAGAAAATGAAATTGGAGATGTTTGTGTGGCCACAACCTTTATACCCAGCTGTGCAAAGGGCAGGCCTGGCCTTGGTGRGGAAGGGTYRCCTCAGCRAGCAGGGSAAGACARCAAACTCARGATCAGGTGAAGCCATGCTGGGGTCAAATGAGGTTTTTGTCACAAGCTCCTGTCACTTGTAGTGTCAGCTTGGATAAGTAATGAAACCAGGAAAGGATCTGATGCTGCCAGCATAATGCTCAGCCCTGCAAGAARTGCTTTCTAGCAGAGAAAAGTGCACCTTTCTGGGTAATGCTCAGGGCTGTGCAGACTTTGGGGATAATCTGATCTGTTCAGTAGAAGGAACACAAGTATTTAACCTCATGATTCAGCATTAGAAATGTGGGWCAACAATTATTTTGATTTTTTTTTTCTTTTCCTCTGCAGGGCAGGGGCTGCACAGGCAGTGCCCAAGCAGTCCCCTCTCAGGGCTGAGGGKTGTGGTGGCTCTCAGTGCCAGCTCAGTGTGTCCTTTGCTTCCCCTTTCCCTGGCTGCAGAGTGCTTCACAGGAGGCAGGTTCTGTGTGTGTGTTGGTTCACTTTCACTTGGTCTTTGTTTCTCGGAGGACTCGATCACTTTTTTACCAGTGCAATCCAAATCTCACCAGAACCTGCCCAGGCACATATTCATATTTCAGTATTAAAYAGAGCATACCCCAGCAAACTCCCCCTTTTTAATGCTCAAGCTGTACTTCTTCTTCACTTGATTTTGAATATTCAAGTGGTACCTAATTTATCTCCATTTTTCAGGAGCTTAAAACTTTTGTGTATTGGTGCTTCAGGAGACCATGAAGCCACTTTCCTTTTGCATTAACCCTATTTACCTACTTTTGCAGATTTCAAATGTTTATTTTACCAACTGTGGCTCATCCTGTTTTACAGGATCTTTTAAATAGCATGTGAGGTTCCTGTTGGTTAAAAAAAAAAGATATTTCATCCAAACCTGAGATCCCTTCTTGGGCAGGGCATCCATTTGGTTTGGTGCCTGCAGCTCCCAGCAGGGRCCAGGGCAGTGCTGGGGCTCTGCAGTGCCAAGGGGAGTTACTGCTCATGGTAATGTGGGTTTAACTCTATAGCAACACGTTTTTTTTTTTTGGAAAAAAATACCAAGGTTCCTCCAGCTTCAAGAGGTTCAAGTAGGAAAGGTGATATGTTTTTTAATATGCCATTCTTATTTCATTTGTGGTTTGACACTCTCAACACTTTCCCGTGTCTCTTCTTGGGGTTTCATGTCTCCTGCTCAGGCTCCAGCACATCCTTGCTGCAAATCTGCTGTTTCCAAATCAGGGGGAGCTTGGTAGCAAAGTGGGTATTTGGTAGCAAGTTCCTTTGRCACTAGAAAAGGGAAATTAATCTCTGCTCCTGAAAGGACATAAGGACTGGGGGTGAAATCCCTTCAGACCTAAAGGATCTTAAAGCTTCTGGAATTGGGTATAAATGGAGGCAGTAACTGGAGAGGACAGTCCCAGCAAAGGTCAGATGTGGGGGCTGGAGTGGAGCCTGTCCAGTGTGAMACAGGATGGCCTGGAGAGGCTGCGAGTGAATAAAGGTCAGTGGGATCAGCCTGCGTGGGCTGGAAAGGGCTGTCAGGTCTCATGAAGGAGGCTTTATCTTGATTTTTCTGTAAATATTTTTTCTGCCTTCAATTTGCTGCCATTTTCCCAGGCACTGCTCCGGAGGGTTCAGCTCAGGACATGCCCTTGTGGGTCTGATTGCCACAGTCACAGGCAGTGGAGGCATTTCCAAGGAAATCAAGTTTGCAGGACCTGCATTTCAAACCACAGGCCTTGGGAGTGCCTTTAACTCCTCACAGCAGGTTTCAGATTCRTATTTAGATACAGGAGCATTTTCAATATCGTGTTGATACAATCAGTTAGCAAACAATGACTTTTCTWTTGGATTTCCCATGGGAGAAGTTCWGATTAATGGGCCATTTTTAGCTTCCCTTGAACACGCCTGGWTACCCTGTCCTGTCCCTGGGAATGGGCTGCTCCTGCTTCACCCCAGCCTGGCACCAGCTCCCTGGGCAGCCAGGAGCTGACAGGAGGAAGGGCTGGAGATGAAGCTGAAGAGGTTTTCAGAAGTGTGAGCAGAAGCAAGCTCTGATGAGAGGTTAGAGCTGGCAGTAAGGGCCAGTGTATTCACCTCCTATCAGCCCTGCCAGCCTTTCCTGCCATAGAAAAGCCCTGAGAATAATGGGTCACAAAATGAGAGCGGAGATAAAGGGCCCTGCTGACATCTGAGATCCCTGCTCAGATTAACAGAAACATAGGGGAAAATTCCTGGGTGGTGTGAGCACGCTCCCAATGTGCTCTCAGAGAAGGCAAGTAACAAACCCAGTGGTGCACTACAAACTTCTGGCCTACACCACTTTTTCTTTTCTTTTCTTTCCTGAACCTGTCTTTCCTCCAGTGCATCGGGAGTTCCCAGGCAAGCCACCCCAATCAGGCATCCAGTAGGATTTGTTATCAGTGTTTATCTGTCCCCAAATACAGACACTGCTGAGAAACACTGAAAACCTTCAAACAAGGAGAAMTCTGGAGCCTGGGCTGCCAGGGCAGGGGAAGCTGAGCGTAGACTTGCGTGGGTGTGTTTAAAGAAAGGTAGAGAAGCATCTTCTGTAGTGTCAGAGCCTCGTGGCAGTGCAGGATGGAGGAATCTCTGCCAGCCTTCATTGGTACACGCTGGGATTTTTATTCCAAAGCTCTGATCTCGAACACAGGGGAGGAGGGGAGGAGGGGCTGTTACACTTTGCAGCTCTCTGTGTCATCAGCACCTTGTTTTGAACAGCAGGTGAAGCCTTTTTGCCATCTCCCACTGATTCCAGACATGGGCTCATGTGCAATTGCACAGTGCAGGTCTTCCAGCACCCCACAGCATCACCCTGGGGAGGCCAGGTAGGAGCCCCCTGGAAATCTCCCTGAGTGCTGGATGAGCAGGGCAACACATCAGGATGGCAGGACTCTCTCACAGCCAAGTAATTTTGCAATATTTGATACTGTATCTCATTTGGGATCCTTTTGGTTTTTTTGTACCGCAAACTGAGTTATGTGGAGTAACCTATAGGTAAAATCTTGCCATTCCGTGGTAGAATTCTTGTTAAGAAAAAAGGGGAAAAAAACCCCAAACTTCAAAAGCTTAAGTGAGAAGGGGGAAAAGAAAMTAAAACAAAAAGAGATCCACTTTCTTTATTTAAAAACCGTATCCCCACAGTCAGTGGCAGCCCTGCCCTCTAGTGCTTGGAGCACGGTTCACAGTCAGCTCACTCCAGGTGCGTCCTGGGCTCACCTGAGTCTTCTTTAAGGCATGGGGAGTTTTGTGTGGTTTTTTTTTTTTGTTTTATTTTGTACTTTTCTCCTTGGTTGCTTTTTTAGSGTGATGGCAGTGTTTTAAGTATTTTCATAGGATTTCACTGCAAGACAACCAAAATCAGACTTTGCTGGATGACAGGCTCTATAAAAACCCTGAAGCATCCAACATAACAATGATGATAAAAATTTCAACAAACTGCAGAATAGACAGTGTCCGTGTGATTTTTATTGGTGACTAACCAGAGCTTCTCTTCGCAGCATTGAGGGCGAGTACGTTCCCGTGGCTGGCGACGAGGTCACCTACAAGATGTGCACCATCCCTCCCAAGAACGAGAAGCTGCAGGCAGTGGAGGTGGTGATCACYCACCTGGCCCCTGGCACCAAGCACGAGACGTGGTCTGGGCACGTCATCAGCTCCTGAGGTGTCCCCTGGGAACGTGGCTGCTGCAGGGACCTGGCTGAAGAATATCGAGCGTGAGGAAATACTGCATTGTCAATAAAGAAGAAGCAGGCCAAAATTACCTTTTTTTTTTACAGCTGGCCTGATTTAAAGAAAAAAAAATGAAACAAAAAAAAAGGCAATTCAAATGCTAATGAAAAAAAAATCTAGCATAATGTGTTTACAAAAAATTGTATTTAAAGAGACCTAGTTTGTGTGCTTGGTGGAGGAGGGGAGGTTTGGATTTTCTTTTATCTTGTGAACTGATTGCAGGAAATGCCCAGGGGAAGCAGAGAGAGGTTTCAAGGAGAGCAGGTTGGTCGAGCAGAGGCACAACTCTGAGACCTGGGCGTTGTGTGAGCCCTGCATCCCCTGGGGCTGCTCTTCCTTGGGGTGCAGCACCTTCATTGCTGATACCAGTGCCTGAATGCCTTGGCTTACAGACAGAGGTGTTCACTGCTGATTTGTTTTCCTCATGGAAGGAAGTTCACAAAGAGAGCAGCTGCCACAGGCTGGAAAATCTCCTTCAGGTGGTTACACTCCTGTGCCCATCAGATGCACCACTGCCAGTGGAATGGCTGCACAGGTGTGGAAACTGTTGTGGTGGTGGAGCTGGGAGAGTTTGTGAATTTACTTAGGTGCCTTGATGGTTGATTAGCAACAGATTTTATAGGCCAGTATTAGAAAAAAAAAATCCCATCCCGAATTTAAATTTGCTTCAAGGTAAGTGGTAGGAAACTGTAGAATAGTGGATGCTTCATAGCCTCTGTGTSTGACTTTTGACAAGGCTGAAGATTTGCCTTCTAGACTGCATCCAGCTGAGTGCCATGGTGTGCCACTGGGCAGRCAGGGCACCTGCACTGCTGCACAGCAGGTGTGTGCTGCTCAGGTGACTTTAATGCACTTCAGGTGGATTAAATACCTGTGAGTTACAGGCTCAGCTGTCTTGGTGAASTAGATTCTGCACATTTCCCTGGAGAACTTGGTAGGATGTGATAAGGTCACCCTTCCCCAGACTTTTCATGTAGTTGTAGTGTTACTAAGTTGTTTTTGTTCCTATTTGCCTTCCACAACTTTTTTTCAAATGAAGCATTTCTCTCTATTACATTCTTAACAGTGGATTTTTATTGACTTTGCAAATAAAAAAAGAAAAAAAAAAGGTGCAACTCTTGTTAGTTGTATGAAACAGTGTAGCTTCAGTTGTGTATTTGGAGCTTCACCAAGAGGTGCTCACTGTCCTGCCCTGAGCCTTTCACAGCAGCTGATCTGTTCCCAGGTGTGGATGGGGACAGCACAGGRGTGTGGGGTCAGGAACTGCTGTGCTGGCTTGTTTTCCCTTAGCTGTACCCGTGTTCCACCATRGTGTAGTGGGGTTGGGTTTGGTTTTGTTTTTTATGACCCGTAAGCCTTGGTAGTGGTGGGTTTATCACTGTGCAGCTTGTTGGAATATCACACCCTGCTTTCTTTACAATAAATGCAACCATTACAGTGCTTTCCTGTGTCTGGGCTAAATGGTGCTGAAGAGGATCAGCATTAAGTAAGAGAATGCAGGTGCCTGCATATACATTCCTGTGGTGACATTTAAAAGCTTTATTTAAGGAAATATTTTCACCTTACCTAACTGGAATCACTGGAAGAATTAGGAAGTAACAAGGCCAGGACAGGAGGAGGAGGCTGTGGTGTTTGGGGCTGAAAAGCAGCYTGGGTTTRGTCCTGCACAGGATATTTAGCACAGGTAACTTTCTGCCAATCAGCCATGAAATAACCAAGGCACAGATACAGGACACGWGTGTGCACACAAAGCAGCAGCTCTTCAATGCTCCTTAAAGAGCATTCTCACTGTGTGGTTTTGCTCCTAAGTCTGCTCCCATTAAAACAGGAGTTACACTATGGAAGAAAGCAGAAGGTAGTAGGAGGGTGATAAAAGAGAAAATAACTTTGATGCATGAGGTGCATTACAGCTCCCCTTTTTTTGTAAGCTCTTTTGGGGGCTTTGGTTGGTACACATTGATTCTATTCTCTGCTTTTTCACTCTGCAAGTATCACATGAACCTGCARCTGGAAAGATTCAAGTCACTCATTTCTTTCTTTGTACAGAGGCAGCATACAACAGGTCTGCTTTAAGTATTTTATTTGCCAAAATGACAAATGGGATATTTTTTCATGATAGAACAAGATTTTATTTTCCTTTACTRCTAATACACAAGATTACTTTCCTAATGCCAGATGAGAAAAGTAATACTAACCATTACAATGTCAGGCATTAACTTCAATTTTAATAGAAACATAATTTAGATCATTTTCATAGTGCAAAAAATCTCACCTGCCCTTAATGCCTTAACCAGAAATCTCAGAAAATGATCAGAAAGTGACAAAAATATATTTTGCTAATGTGCTTAAGTTATTTTGATTAATTTTTACAAATGATTTTATATATTTGGTCTGCAAAGAGTGTAGGTACCGTGACTTGACTGTGCCTTGGTACCATATTCCTCCTGAGGAAGGAAATTTGGCACCAGCTGGCCCAGCTTTYCCAGGGGTGGTAGTCAGGGATTTCTGGCTCAGTTCCATCTTCCCTCATCCCASGAAGAAATAAAACCTGTCCCTTCTACTCATTTTCCAGTTTTAGACAAGAAAATCCCAACTGTCTTAAAATTCATGTTAATTCATATAGCATATGGTAAGTATTTAAAAAAAAAACAACTTAAAAACGTTCATCTTTTAAAAAGCAGCCTCAATATAAAAAATTAGGGATAAAGGTTTGCAGGCCAATTTTGAGACCATAAATCATCAAGAAGCAGATTATGCCTCCCCTTCCCCCTATTGTAATTGATTAGTTAAGGAAGTTTACTTGTATCTTAAAAACCAGCCCAAAATATAAACCAACCCAAACCCCACTATCAAGCAAAAAGAAAACAAAGTACTTCTGTGACTGGAAACTGAAAGGAGGGTGCTAAACGAGCTCTGCTGTGTTCCCCCAGTCAGCAGTGGTCTTTAATTAAAACATTTCCCTTCAATAATTCCTGACCTGCAAAGCACCTGATATTCAGGACCAATTACAAAAAACAATACAGAACGAAGACGATGTTTCAAGTTATTTTGCTGTTTTAACCGTCTYGGAAGTGTGAATTCTAAAAGTCTTTCATTTAAAAAATAGCTCTTCACAGATTCTTCTTGTATCCTGTGGGGATGTGACACTGTGGCCTTCTGTTCTGGAGTCTGTGAAAATTTCATAGTCATTTCCTCCCTGGAAGCAGAAGAGGATTTGTTCAACATAAAGTATGGTGTCAAAAAGGGACAGAGAAAGGAAAAGAGGGAAAGAATGGACTTTTTCCAAGGGCCTGCAGTGATGAGGCTCAGGGAACAGCACTCCCACTGTATGAGCACAGAACCCCCAAATCCACAGCTTAATTCCCAAATTTCTGAGTGCCAYGCTGCTTTCACAGGGTCAGCATCAGCTCTTGCTACTCCAACACTCTGAAAATGCTGCACTGCCACTTAGAGGGTTTAAAATGAACTGTCTGTGAACTCTCTGCCTGAGGGACAGGTGATTACTTTTGCAACTGATCTCAGGGGAAAATAACTTTTAATGTCAAGCTTGTCTTTCTCTTATAAAACTTCACATTTWAAAATTAAGAAAGCTCTTTGTAATTTAGAGTTTTATAACTCTGAGTTCTTATAAAACTAAGCCTTTTCTTATAAAACTTAKCCCAACACTGTCCCTTGGCCATATTCAAACAGCTTTAACTTCATCTAAGTCCCKGTGCTTGCCAATACCCTCACAAGCTCCTGCCAGCTCTCTGCTCAGGATTTTTAAAAGCCTCTGAATTGCCCTGCAGAGCTCTGAGTAAAGGCACAGCATTAAACTCAATGGGAAATAAATAWGTTTAATAAACACCTTCCAACAAGAAGCATCAACTGACATTAACCAAGCAGGATAATCAGTTTCACACAGTCACCTCACTGAGGTGTTTAAAAGAATTACAGAACTGCAATTTCAAAACGACCTCTGTTAAGTCAAAAACCCTGTATTCACTTCAGGAAACAGAAGGAAAACTTCACAGCTGCAGCCACATAAACACGGACATGTGTTTATATATCCTGACTTCAGCTCTTGTCAGGATTAAGGCTATAAGGTTAGAACCTGCAGTCCTTGTGGTTTAAAAACAGCAGCTCTGAAATTAATGGAACAAACCAATATACTCACTGGCATAGTCTTGTCTCCAAAGAAATAAATAGTCTTGTACCCATCCTTGGCAACAATTCCTAAGCAGTACCTCTTGTCCCAGCCATCTGGGAACACATCGATGCTTATCTGGCCTCCTAGGAGAGAGAAGAACCAAGACTTGTGTCATTTTGAAAACATATTTCTCAAGGGAGAGGAAGTAACATAAAAACTAGAATGGGTGAGATTTTAGGCAGAAGGAGCTTAACAGAAATGTTATGAGACCATGRAGTTAAGTCCTGCAAGTACAGAAASTGTTTTATAAGGTATCAAGTTATTGCAGCTGTGATTCAGACATTATTGATCCATTCAAAAAATACAAAAGACTGAGCATGTTGCCAAATATTCACTGTTCTTCAAGGAAACCTTTTAAAAAGAATTACACTTAAGCCCTTTACTTTTAGAAAGGACACAGATGAACACATCCACTGGTGTATGTMCAGCCATAAATTCATAGGCAATAGACTTTCTAAGGCTTTCAGAGCAGAACAGGGAGGAAATCAGCCTTTTTAACACATCCTAACAGGACAAGAACTGTTCCAGTTCCAAACCWTGGCCTTCACCAGTCCCTAAAAGCTGGACTCCCACTGGAAGCAGGTGTCCCAAAGGTATTTACARCATGCTTCAGGAGAGCTACACTGCAGCTGACTTTTGCTTTAGTGCTTGAGCACTAATAGCAACCATACTTTGCAATTCTGAAAAATAATAAAAGGCAGAAATGTGGTAATGTTTTAGGGGACAGGGTAAAAAAGGGAAAAAAAGCATGAAAAATTGAATCCCCCTTTTTATCTTTTTTTTTTTTTTCCTTAAGCCTGCACATGCTTTTGGATTCCTTCCTTCMTCCCACACATTGCAGGTACAGCTGAAGAACCAAGGGCAACTGGAACAGCACTGAGGSAGTGGTTCTGATCAAAACTGATTCACAGCAACAACTCTGACTAATCAGAGAAGTGATTAGTGAGAAGCATATAACAGGCTACAAAATGAGCAGACTCAGTCACACAACTGACATTAAAGGACAATGAACTGATGACAAGAAATGAAGCTCTCTTTGTTGATGGATTTCAATTAAAATGTCCCAATAAAAGCCGGAGAGGAAAGTGAGGCTCAGTCTTGCCTGCAACCACCCCCATAGAGATCTGTCACACAAATGAGATGGGACATCACAGCCATAAGAGTATGACTTAAATGAAATTTAAATTAATTGATGCTTTAAATTATATTATTTAAAAGTATTACCTATAGAAAATGTGAGGCCTTTGCCTGCAAATTCTCTTTGCAAATCAGCTACAAATTTCTCTCTTATATGCTCCTTCTGTTAAGAAAAAAAAACCAAAACAAAACCAAACAGTTACATGCTGTGTTGATTTGTCAGTGAAAAAATAACCCCAAAACACCTCAAAAATATAAAAAAAAAAGAATGGTTTTATTGAATGGACCCAGGCTGCTACACCAAAGAACACACCAGGAAAGTATGGCTTTACCTGGGAGAGTGTTTTTCAGGAACCCTGTGTGTAGAGGCAGGATGTTCAGTACACTGGRTATTGGACTAAAAACATGAGCCAAACCCACCCTTCTGCAAGTAATCATTTAAACTAYTGCAACAAAAACCCCATTGTCTATTGCTTGAGGTCTGACTGAGGAAATTAGTTAAACCACATGGAAAGGAATAAAATGAAAAAAACTGCACAAAGTATGTAGGTTTTTAAAAAATCATAATATGGCCATAACTGCCTCCTCCAAGAGAGCTGGGTGTTTTTCAAGAGCTGTAACTCACTTTATCAAATTCATAGAACTCAAGYCGTTCTTCCTGGCTGCAGCTTCTCCCAATGGGGGACACGTTTAACATCCCATTTCGGAACTCAATGAAAGTGCCTCTGCAAGAGAATTGATTAACAAGACAGAAAATACATGAGAAAATTGCTCAAAACACTAAATATCACAATACATTTCCGTTTAATTCTAAAGAAAATGGGATCAACTGTCTCCTTCAGCTTCCCATTACATGCATAAACCCCCAAACATGCAAATACCTCTGGCACCGAGGCTTTTGAACTTTGAATCTGGCAACCTCAACATCATCCTTACTGACTTTTAAAAGCGCAGTTTGATTTTACAAGTGTGACTGGAGCATCCCATCAACCCAAACCTCAGAGGCTGACAGGCCAGGCTGTCAGTTTTGGGGAGGAAGCTGCAAAATTCACAGTAATGGGGCCAGTGTCCTGCGCTGCCTCACACTGTGCATTTCAGTGTCTGGAGCAGCTGCACCTCACACATCACACAGAGCTGGTCTGGCTGCACCTCTCACCTCTGGAAAACATGCTGCTGAATTCCAAACATGTCAAGAAAACACTCCTACCTCARAATTGAATCTCCCTCCCTCTGACAGAAAAATGTTGAATCAGTCTTTCAAATCCTGTGCTCCTGGCTGAAAACTTATCTTTGCATGCATGGATGGAGCTCTGTTTCACACACACAGTGCTGTTCCCTAAGCACAATTCACTCATTTTGTTGCTGAGCACCCTGAGCTGACCTTTACATCCTGATATTCAACACTGGAGAACATGGACACAGTGAGAAGTGTGCACATACCTCTTCTTTGGCAGTTTAATCTTTGCAATGTAACTCAGGCAGTAGTTGATGACATCTTGAAGGATTTCCTCRCCCAGGTGGCCCTGAATGCTCTAACAAAACAAACACCATTCAACCAAGGGTCCAGAATCTGAGATTCTAAAAGCAAGTCACATGGAAAACACAGACATTGGGAAATCAGGCATGGTTAATACCACAGAGAAACAAACACGCCTTCAGTCAGCTGATGCACACATACTAACTAAAGGCTCTTTTTTATTCACTTTGTAACACCAAACTGACCTTTAATATGATCCCTACTTGTACTCCAGAAAGAAACCCAGCAGCTCTAAACAAAAAGCTGCATTTAACGTCTGCTATAGCCAAACATGAAGAAATAGGGGCTTGTTCCTGCAGTAAACTGGTCAAGGCAGTAAATTCAGCCAGGACCTCTTTGAAATGTTTACTCTCCATTACTTATGTTAAACATTACATGCCAAATGAATGATCCATTAAGAGGAGCAACACATGAAAAGAGCAGCAATTTTGGCCTTTGGAAGGGTGATTATAGAAGACTGCACTGTAGCAACAGATCAAAATCTTGTTTACAAATTTCTTTTTCCCACCATTGGAAATTTCACACTTACCTGCTTGCTCAAGAATTTCCCATCTTTGTATGCTACCAGGCCATTTTCTGGAAACACGTAGTCGTATTTTTCAATCACTGCAAACAAACAAAAAGACAGTAACTCATCATTTCCCCTGCATGTTTAATGCAGAATTCTTATACATTAGGTTACAATACAGCAAACATTAYCTCCTAAAGCATGACAGTTTCAGTAGCATAGCATCAAGCACAGGATTAATACTAGTCCCATTTCTTACTAAGATTAACGCACACCTCAAATCACACAAAGTCATTTGTCTGAGTTACTTTAGTTTTGCCTAGAGGCCTTTCCTCGCCGAAAAACGTGACTCTTTGCATTGAATGTAAAGAAATGACCAAAYACCTCAAATCCTGCAAAACCCTGGCACACAGCCTGGCTAGAGAGCAAGTCAAATACTGCTCTTTTAGGTTTGTTTCCTCAGTGTTACCAATCTTCAGTAGAGGTCTGGGAGTTGTGAGACTCATAACACAAGCTGACGTGGCTTACTGGAGACTGCTCGGAAGCCAAACAAATTCTAAGCTGTCTGGGCATAACCGAATGTTATCARTAGCATCAATCACGTAAAGATCATTAAAAACAAAGGCTAAGGCAAGAATCCAGCGCTGAATCATAACCTCACAGYGAGCAAAAGCAGGTCCTTGAGGGATATGCTCGACAGCTGAGCAGCCCACACGGGYATGTCACATACACGATTCCCAGCASTGCGAATCCCGAGATTCTGTCACCAGGGCAGGATTTCACCATTAGCAACAATCTCTAAAGTGATGCCGAGACACCCCTGTGCARTGCAAACAGGCTGCAGTTTCCAAATGCCGGCAAAAGTAGCAACACACCACCACCAGGAAGACAGTTAAAAGCAAGGGATTGCATCAGCCCGGCCCTTACCGTCCTCGCCCAGCTGCTCGCGGATCTTGGCGAAGTCCGAGCCGCCCACCACTCCCACCTTCACCTTCTGCCGCAGCCGCTGCACGAACGCCGCCATCTCCGCCGAGATTTTCTGGGGTCCAAAACAGAGCCGTCAGATTTGCCGCAGGCCCTCGCCTCCATCCGCAACAATCAGCGCAAACCCGCGGCAGCGTGCGCGTYTTTAAGCGGCACATTGGGTGCGCCCGCGGCATGCGGCACACGCCGGGCCCCGCGGCATGCGGGATGCGGTGTGCGCTGTGCCCCGCTCTCCCCGCGGGCGGGATGTGCGATCCGCCCCGCTCCCCGCGGGCTCGCAGCCCCGTCCCGCACTCGCCTGGCGCGGGGCCGTCAGGGTGCCATCCACGTCGAACAGGCAGAGCGCTGAGGGCGGCGGCGCCATGGCAGTGGGGCTGGCGGGGCTGGGGGCCGCCCCTCCCGGCGGGCTGTGCGCGGGGCCGGGCGCAGGCGCGCTGAGGTGGCGGGGCCATGGCGGCGGTGAGCGCTGGCTGCCGGGCCGGGCAGTTCTCTATTCCCCTCCTTCTCTTCTTTCCCCATCTCCTTCCCTTTCCCCATCTCCCTCCCTTTCCCCATCCCCATCCCTGTCTCCATCCCGTTGCGGGCCGCTCGCTGACGGGTCCCCGCACAGCCCCGTGCCCGCGTGTGTTGCAGCGTGGCGGGGGCAGCTCGGGATTTCTCTTCCTGCCTTTTCCCGTCCGTTCTTCCCGTTCCCGTTCTGCGCTCTCCTCCCCTTTACCGTGTCTTTTTTTCCTGTTTCCCTGAAATGGTTATTTCAGCGGTTATTTAATAAGTCGCCAGTGTCACCAGGTGGAAGCAGTTTGCAGTGTGCTGTTGCTCAGACAGCGAGAGACAGCGGGTGTGCAAGGGTCGGTCACTGAGCTGACTGACAGCAGCACTGTTAGCACAAGCGTTTTCCCTCTCCCTCTGCCGGGACGGATGCGAGTACAAACAGCAGTTTCCTGTCAGAACATCGGTTTAAAGTTACAGTGAGCTGGGGTGCCGAGGGACCAGCTCTGAGCTCACCGATTCGGTTTTAAAGAGGACTCAAACGATGACSGGTGGGAATCTTTCCTTACAGGCTCGGCTCTGCACAGTTAGGACTAAAGTCTGCATGRCACCAGCTGTTGGCAGATGTCTACAGAAGACGCTGTGGACAAGGTCATGGAGAAGGGAAGATGCTCACCAGCCCTGGATTTTTGGTTCATGGCAGTGTTTGCAGTCACAAACCCAGCGCGTTCATGGTGTCAGTAATTACCTCAGGAGAGCACGGGAGCCGTCTGTGTGTCTGTCCCATTCAGCCCCTGCTGCTGTGCTCCAACAGAACGCTGTGGATGGCAGGACTGAAGAGTTCAAACTGGTGTACAGGTTCCCAGGGATAAAGTACTGCAGGGTGCTGTCCAGGCTGAAGCTGCTGCAGACTGCCACCTCTGTGGTCCTGCTGCCTCCCATCTGCTACCTCTACCTGCAGGGCCAGGTGTCTGAGARCATCCTCTTCTATACAACTGGCATCGCCGTCTTTGCTGGGGTGATGTTGTATGGGATGAGCTACTTTTTCAGAAGAATTATTGGATTAATCTACTTAAGTGAAAGTGGCCAAACGGTCAGAGTGGCCCACTTGACRTTTTGGGGAAGACGGAATGACATTTACTGTCCTATAGAGACAGTGGTGACTTTGGATGAAGTTGGAGATAGCAAGGAGGAGCTCCTCCTCCAGTTCAAACGGTCTGACAGTACAGACACTTTGTATTTTACAATTAAGTATGGCCAGATTATAGAYAAAAAGAAGTTTACTCAAATATTTGGAGAACTTGTGTAATACAGCAACTCATTTCCAGTGATTATCCATGTAGCATGTTCATTGTGTTTATTGTTCCATGAGGTTTAAGTAGTTTACCAAACTACACATCCCTATTGTTTTCCTGTCCAAAGCCTGCTCTAACTGCACCCAGTGTGGAAATTCACAGTGGTAAAGAGCAGCCCACTGGATTAAAGCTCTTGCAGTTCGTGTATGGTGTGAGAAGCATCTGTTCCATGTCGGATTCAGTAATGTCACAGCATTCCAAGTCTGAGCTGTTCTCCTTGGAATGTGCCCTTGGAGGCCAAATTACTGGAGCTGACCCTGGCTGTTTGTTTCAGTTGGCCTCTTTGGTTGTTATGAAACATGAAAAAATGCTTGAAATTAACYGCAGGAGCTGCTGGAGCATCTTCACTTCTAACTCGGTTTTTCTTTTAGCCAATTTTGGGTTGGCTGGGAAGCCTCTGGAAATTAATGCTGGTCTAGTACATGGATATGATGAGTACTGCTGAATGTCAGAGGGACACATGCTCATGTGTTAATGCAATTGAGGGAACTGCAAAGGTGTGTGGGGTCTCCTAGCCTCAGGGGGTCTCCAGGATGGGAATGGAACTGGGCAAAACAAGGGTGTGCTGTGAGAGACACTGGCAGCGCAGCTGTAAGGCTGAGTTAGAGGCTGGGACAATGTTTCAGGAGCCTCTTACAGAAATTGCTTCTCCACTGGAATGGGAAAAGCAGCACCAGTGTCATGAAGGACTGTGGGCTTATTCCATSGTGGTGGTATGATTCCTCCTTTTCCAAAACCTTTGTAGAAATGAGGAATTTAAACCTGAGAAAGAATCAAACCTATCACTTATAACATGTAACACATTTTTTTTTTGAGTTGTCAGAATCAAGGTAACTCCTTACACCACTCTTCTAGCTCTTACTTTATTTGAAACTGGCAAATAAACTGACCCTCACCAATAATCCAGAGTGTTCTTTTCCTTATTTCTTCCTCATGTGAAGCGAAACCTCTGTGTTTTGGTGGATCAGCAGAGTCAGATAAGCAAAATTGCCATTTAAGTGAACAGGGTAACGCTGAATTATTCTTTATTCATGTTGAACTTTTCCTAATGGAGCTCTGTGAGTTTAAATTTTGGCTGATACTGTGTGGCACAGCAATATAAAAAAAAAAAAAAAATCCAAATGTTCCTTGGTGTAAACACCATGTCTGCAAAATACAGTGGGCTGGACAGGTACACTATTTTTTTTGAGATTTATTTTCATCAGAATATATTTAATATGCACTAATGGTTCAGTGTAGGCACATACTGGGTATAAAATGAAACTCCCTGGAGAAGTTCAATTATAAATATTTTATTTAAGAATATTGATTACACATGAGATGTCATTTGTTATGAATCTGTGTACAGTTACTAGTTACACCATGAAGTGTACTTAAGTATTTGTTTAAACATTTATTTGGCACTGTCCACAGTATGCTGTAAACAATATTAACTTTATATGCTTCAGCTGCAGTGCTTTCTATGTATTCTCTAACGATTTCATCAACATGTTGTACACAATTATACAGTTACTGAGTGTCAGTAAAAATTATAAAAACAYCTAGAGTAGTCATAATAAAAGTGAAGATGTGGTAAGACTTCAAATTACTGGACCTTTGCTTCTGTAAAAGTACAAGACTTGCTAGAGACATTCACTAAAACTACTGCACTGATATGTTGAACAAACTAATTCCCAAAATGCTGCCAAATCCAGTTCTCGGTTTGACTTTCCTTTTGCTGATAATACGCTTACGAAGACAGCAATGACAATGAGGTTTTGTTGAACACCAATTTTTACTTTCCCCCAGATTTCTACAACCTCTGTTCAAAAACCTGCTCAGGTTCTGCCCAGCTGGTACCAGAATTCTGCTTTCTGCAGAGGTTTGCAGAAATCTCACTGGGTTTAAGCTGGCAGAAGTGACTCGTGTTTCCCAATACCAGTACTTTAAAATGGGAAAACCATGATTAACACTTCTCAAAGCAGGTAAGGAACCTTTTCACATTTTGGTATCTGTATTAAACATGYAAATCTTTTAACTTCTCTGTCTCTTTTATTATGTACTTAAAAATTGTGGTCAGGTCCTAATAGGGCAACTGTAAAGTCCATTGTGGTCCCTGTTTTGGTGCACAACAAAAAGTTAAAACTTAGTAAACAAAATCCAGACGCTCACCAAGAAAAAGAAAAAGGCACCAGGTCTAGTTCAAGTCAGCCTTCAGCAAACAGTAAAGAGACATCCAAAACAATTCTCTGAAGAGAAACAAATTCATGAACTGTTGACACATTTTTTTGATTCTGTGGCTTTCTAGAAGATCTCTGAAGTATCAATGACTTAGAATATACTATTAGAACAAAAATAGAATYACTTTGCATTATAAATGTGCAGTCAGGACTAGGCCTTCACTGTAGTGGCTCTGATACCAGATAATGGCTAAGAWTAAGCATTTCTGCTTTAGTTTTACAAAATACCTCAAGTATTCATGTAGAAGTTGTACTAATAAATTAATGGCTATTGTGTGTTCTGGGCAAATGGTAAAATAATCTGGAATCATTCTAAGATTGCTGGCAGAAGTGGAAGAATGTGCTTTRCATGGTTCTCTAAGCTTTGTCAAATCACATACGTCAGGGTAGGGTTTTCTCTATACAAGTCTGCTTGTAAGAGAAGTCAAAAGTTTTAAAACTCATCCATGATGAGGACAAAAGGACAAGGGCTTCAGTGCCACTTGCAGTGCTGCACATGTGGCTGAGGGCACCAGAGCCCCTGAAGCAGTGAGTGCAGGCTGGGCAGAGCTGACAGTGCCCTGATCCACTTGGTRTGGCAGAAGCCTGTACTCGAGGGAATAAAGCTGGAAATTACTCTAAAATACTGTGCTTGGCAGTGGTGGAAAGCAGAGCTTTCCTTGAAACACTGATTCTATTCCAGCTGCCATTAGAGAATGGCACTTTCAGCGTGGCAGGTGAGYGACTCTGAGCGTTTGGCCACGGTTGTTGCTGCTTCTGGACGCAAATCTACCAGGGTCACCTGTGAAAACAGACTGTACCAGGTCCTGTTCAGACAGTGGAGAGTCAGGGACATGGCTGTAGGGAGGACTCGGCTGTTAACATGGCCCAGGCCAGAAGAGGGAGGTTCTRGGGAATGCACCAGGCCACATTTTCTAGGGAATGCACAGTGAGGGACAGCTGCATGTACCTGCTGGTGACCAGTGCCAATGCTCTGCCTGGGGCGCGTGTGCATGGAGCAGCTTGCCTTGGGCAGGATTACAGACAGAACACAAACCTCAGTTTATGACTTTACACTTATCTCGTAAGTAAAGAAGACATGAATTAATGCAAACTAATTTCATAATCAGCTGTTCGGTGCGAGGGAACTGCTTTTTACTTGAAGTTTGCTAAGATGTCACTGAAAATGTTCAGAAAGAGGTGCGCGTGGTGATCCTTGAAGATCAGCGTCGGACGGAAACGAATGGATCTGTCTCCACAGCCTCCCAGAACAACACCTGAAACAACAACAGAATTGCTCCTCCAGTCATTTCCATCTTTGCCAAATATCCAGAAAAATCCAGGCCTCTGAATGAGGATACTCTCACTGGAGGGCAGCAGAAACTCCCTAAATCCTGCCAGCCACACCATGATACAACACATCGGGGTGTGAATGGCCTCAAGCTTCACAGCAGCTTAGAAGAACACTGTGGGAGCCTGGAGCTGTTYTATAAAACACTTGGAGTATTGGGACTAATCCCAACAGCAATGGAAAGACTCCCCCCAGCAGAGAGCTCAAACAGCATCTGAGATTTCAGAGCTGCAGTGCTCTGAAAGTTACTGTTCAAGTAACTTGGTGCCAGAACAAGACACAYGAAGTTTCTTTACAATTTGGTTTTTATACTAGTTTGGTTTTAATTACTAAAAGTTAAACTATCTCAGTGGCAGCAAACCTCTTCCTGCAGTGCTTTAAATGCATGATACTTTTTTTACCCCAAAATCAATTCTTGGAGATGTTTGAGCAATGAGAACTAYTATTACTAAGCTGAGCTTATCCAGCCTCAAAGCAGAGCCTTGGTTTACCATGAAACCACTTGCCTTCTCTMCCTGCTGGCTTAGTTTCCAAGAACAAAAGAGTTGTCTTTTACGCTCTGTAATTTTGGTTTCACTACAGTTTAGATGCATCCTGCCTGCTTCTTTCAAGAGATAGGAGAAACAGCAAAACCAGACAGCAGCAAACAGGGCCAYACAGTTAAATTCAAAGAGAATGTTAGTATGGATCCCAAGGTTTCCCTCCTGATACCTGGCCCTGTCTGCAGCTGGTAACAGTTCTGGGGGAAAAGAGGGATGTCACTGTACATCTGTGCTCACTTTAGGCACTCATATTTCATCATTAGGTATTCCTAGGTATAGGAAATAGGTATTCATAATATTCATACTCTTCTCTCTGTGTTTTCCTGAGTGACATTAACTTTGTTCTATATTCCCATCTGTCTCTAGAAGTAAGCCATGTCCACAGGCACCTAAGGTCCCTGCAGAGGACTATGGAACCGATGTTACAGAAACTCATGCCCTACACAGATCYCTTCCAGTAACCTCAGACCCACTGAGTCTGGTAAATGTACACATCACGCAATGGACTGCTCTGAGGTCTCTGACAAGAACTTCCAGRAAAGTCTAATTACAGCTTTGTCATTTCACCACTGTCCTCTGATACTGCAGTACACACACACCACATGAAAAGGGAAAATGTAAAGCATTACCTATACTACTGTTTGTCACGTGAAGCTCATCCATACACCCAAACTTTCTTACCTTTGTTCCTGGCTATTGTAATTAACTTGTTTCTAGTTGCATCATTTGGAGTGTCAAATGAACAGAATGTTCCTCTTCCTCTCACTCTGCTGATGAGATGGGGGTAACGAGCCTGCAAAGAGAGACAAGCACATGGCAGCTGCTGCAACAGAGGGCACCTGGTGCAAGCTTGGCTCTGCCAGGTGGAAGCCCTRCTGCCTCCTCGCTCCACTGGAGTGGAGCACAGCTCACACAGCCTCGTGTCCTGCCCAGCCTGCAGAGCCCAGCACAAAGCAGGGAGGGAGGGAGAATGGATCTGAGCCATGAGCTGGACCAAGTAAAATCATCCCTGGAACGAGTGTAACACACCTTACTTACATCTACATCTACAGAGCATAAACCATCTGCACCAGGGCTAGAAGGCAGCTCATTGTTACCCTGCACTAAGACACTTGCCAGCAGTATCTGCCACTTACTCTCAATTAMAATCCTCAACTTTTAGAAGAGCAACCTCTTGGATAGGACAAGTTGCATTCTGGCCCTCCAAATTATGAAGATTATACTGTTTTCTCTTCTCCTCCCTGTTATGTCTTACAGCTGTGGAGAGAGCAGAGACTGTGTTTGGGATTATTCCATGCAAAATGCCTTTGGGAGGTGAGCACCTGCAAGACTATCCTTAAATGCCTGTCTGTAGAGCTCCACAGTAGAAGCTGTAAGGAATTTCCCTCAAACAAGACAGGGAAAGCTACAAGTTTCTCATTTCAACAACTGAGCAGAATTGGAACAAAATATGAAAGCACGTTCCTTTAAAAAGAATTTTGGGACAATGAAATACCAGCTGCTTGTAGTAACAAAATCTAGCAAAGTAATTAAATTAGTTGCAGTTCATACCTTCAGATATTTTGGGGATCAAGCTTTATATTGGATTAAGCTATATAAACCCAGCATTTCAAAGTAGGTAAAATAAAGTTTACTTCAATTCCAAATGGGACACAGTTATTCAGGCTTGTGTTGACRTTATTATAATGGTCTAGACCTCAGMTGGAATTCCTCAGTCCAAGTGTTTAAAGTGGATAAGGCCTTACTTCATCAGCCAATTTCTCCTTTTTGTCTACAATCCTTCCAGATGTTTACCTGCAAATCCAGCAGCCCAGTCAGTAGTGCTTTCCCGGCGTGGGTTGCATTGTTTAGAAGGTCTTCTGTTTTAATAACCTTAATGACTTCAGCAAGCATAAGATTCTTGGATGGATCTCCAAGCCAGGTGTTAAAAATCCGRTAGGGCTTGAGAAAGGGTGGAAAAAGAGTTGTGGAACATATTAACAGGCAAATCAATGTAAATTCAGAAAAGCAAGGCATCACACTGGCAGTGCAAACATGGTGTATGAAAAAGCATGCACTAACTTCACCAACCCCCTTTTTCAGGCTGTAAAGCAAAATCCCACTGCCCTGCTGAGCTGAAATAGAAGGTGACTACTTCCTGCTTCTCACTCAGTGCACTCTGTCTTGCTGCTCTGACAGCTCATTGAAACACAGCTATAGATAACAGGAAATCAGCATCATCTATATGGGCTTCTACATCAAGCTTTATGTTTTTCCCCTTAATTTGACTTCTTTTTTTCATTTATTACATCTAAAATGCCATTAATGCAAAGAAGAAATCTYGCTGACAGAATCTGTAATGCTGATATACAAGCGCTGAAGCTCCCAAGTTGCCCTAAAGGAGAAGGTGTCAGTTTGTGGTTGGATTTTGTACTGAAGGCTTGTTCCATTAGACTAAAGTCAGTTCTTCTCTCCCCTCCCCCAGTTTTATGACCTTGGTGATGACAAAAAGTGGAGTAAAAGTGGTGAGCACACAGGGAGTTTCTGTAAACAGCCAGCTGAACCTGCACTGCTGAAGGAAACCTTATCCCTTCCATGGATCTACAGCCACTCCTCAGGGGGTCACAGAGTTTGAGTTTCATTGAAAATCTTACAGCATTTGGCCTGAACTCCTCTTTGTGGAAAAATCCTCCCGTCATCATCTTCTTACTGAACGTTACCACATCAGCTGGGTCATCCAGGCCCCAGTGCTCGTGTGCCCAGAATTTTCCTGTGCAGCCGCCTCCCGTCTGCACCTCGTCCACCAGGAATGCACAGCCATGCTGCAGAGACAGACGTGAGGGGCAGGGAATGTGAGCCCTCCTTCCCAAAACAGAAACACCTCCCTTAGTGCTTAGTCCCTTATGTGCTCCCTTAGTGAGCACATAAACACAAACCAGTCACAGGCAACACCCCTCCTTCCTCTCCTTTCACTGCCCCAACTTCCCCTCCTCAGTCCCTCCACCAATGCCACTCACTGGGTGTTAGATTTCACAGTTAAAAATTCACTTCTTTTTTTCAGGAAGGACTAGAAACTTGTTTTCTACCTATATTCACAAARTACATGTTTTTACATAGTCTGAGCATTTCTAGAGGATACCTGAAAGCATCTGGGAGGAGCAGAGGTGGAATTTTCAAAGCTCCTGAGGAAGCAGAGTGTAATTTCTAGGAGCTTTGTTTGTTTTAAATAAGAAGTCTCTGTCCCCAGTCCAARTTGGGCATTTGTGGCACAAAGGCAGTACCAGCAGCAGGAGCTGTTCAGTTTAGGGTTCTGAAAAGCTGCCTTTTCAGACAAGTCTGCTGAAAGAGCTACTCGTGTGAGCTGGCACTGTGGGGATTTTACGTGTAGGGCAATTTTGTCACAACTTTGTGACAGGGAGGGCAAGCTATATCATAAAAACAATAAAAACAATACTGTTTTTAAAAACRATGGGGAAGTAGCTTTGGCAGCATCTCTTCAGCACACAGAGGTTTTGAGGGTGAAAAAAAGCATGGAGTAGGTATTACTGAGGGTCACAGCTTCTAAACAGGTAACTTTCATTCCAAGTATTAAGACATCTGTGCTTTTCATTGTTTTATTRCAATATCAGCACTATGGGTGGACTCGAGCTGTGTTTCAGCTTTTTTTTGCAATTAAAAGCATCATTAAAAATTTACCCTTTTCCAAACTGCTTCTTCAGAARCTGAACGTCCTTAACAAATTATCATTTAAAGAACACACTTGCAAAATTCATAACTAAAGAATCAGAGTAATTTGTCTCTCACTTTGAAATTAGAAGATAATTTATTGGACCGAGGAACCCATTAGGTGTGAATCAAGTGGAAGAGATCAGGGTTACTTTTATCTGACTACAGTGTAATTACCCCAGATTCTGCTAAGGAAGCCTGTGGAGCCCTCCAAGAGCCTGGAGACACCCATACTGTGTGGGGACATGTTCAGCTRCCACTGAGTGCCCAGTGCAATGTTTTATTACCTTTCTGGCAATGTCTCGTAGCTTTCTGAAGAAGTCATCTGAAGCATGATTGTCCCCACCCTCYGACTGGATCGGTTCCACAATGATTCCAGCCACAATCTTCTTCTTTTTCCTGTACTTTACAATCAGGTCTTCCACCTGTGAATCAGACATTTATAGTACATTCTCCTTCCAGGACATTACATGTTTCCTACCAGCGAGATTAAATCTTATCAGCAAAACAACTTTCCATAGACATTMCTGGCTATAAAGCTGCCAGGAGGCACAAAGGATTATCAAGTTGTTCTTCCAGCATTTAACACTGCTTTCTTGTTCCTGSATGGGTTTAAATCATGTCTAGCCACACTCTAACCAGCTGCACATTTYCCTACAGGGTTGTGAAAGCTCTAACCAGGTTCAGCTGGCAGTGTGGTGAGCACCACTGCAGCTCGCTGTGACACTGCTGTCACTCCACCTAAGTGATATGGAAGGGGATAGATTTTGTGTCAGAAGCCAAAACTCTGCTAATGTATTAGAAAAAGTAATCTGAAAAWTTTACTTTTTCCAGTCACTCACTTCAGATACATTAAAATTAATCAGATGAAATAGTGCAGAAATCCTGTTGTAAAGGGCAAACAGAAAATTCTCATTAAACTCATAGTGCCAGTTGYTGTGGTTAGTGGTATATTTGTGATTGAAATTTCCCTCAAAGCCCTCGGGCCCACAGCCCCTGCAGGCTGTGCAAAACAAAGATCTCCAAAGGGGGCCAGAAAGCCAAGAACAGACTTGCTAAGGAAACCTTTGGCTTTGTGTTTTGTTTGTTTATCTACAAAATAATGGCTTCCAGCATTGCATTTCTCCCACCCAAAGCTGCCCTGGAGCAACCCCAGGGAAGCCATTTGCTGTGCTTTCTGTTTTCTCTGAAGTGAGGCAGGTTTGGATAAGTGGACTTGGGTCCAYCCCTGCACAGTCAGAGCTTTATGCCAGAAGCTGCCATGGAAAAGCTGAAAAGGCTGAAATACTGCTAGAGGCTGTCTCTGCAGAGAGGGTTATCCACACTGTGCTCTCTCTCAGCCCATGGCCCTTTGGCAAGACCTGGCAGACGAGTTCATTGTGATACAACAAAGTTCTGAGGGTGAAACTTCACTTTGGTATCACTCATGCAGCCCTCTATTCCCAGCAGCCAGCAGGAAAAAAGGTCTGACTGTAAACAACAGTGAATGCTGGTYCAATCACAAGCTGTTCCAACCCCTGAAAACATTCTTTTAGTGAAAAGCACTAATCCTACCAACACTATTCATTATTTCAAATCAAAAACAGCAGAGAGCTGCCAGTGAATTTTTTACCTCCTCTAAACAACGGGCTTCTTCCTGTTGATTCTCYTTCACAAAGTCTTCCAGGGGATACTTTAACCTTGGAAATGGAGCAATAGGCCAGTCCAGTGAGGGAATGTCCAGTTTGTGAATTGCTTTAGAGTGAGTTGTAGCTAAGCAACCTAAACCCAGAGAAGGAAAAATTAAAATAATACCTATCTAGGAACAATACAAGAAAAAGCTACCAAGAGGTGAAAAATGGCCTGACAGTAGAATTCTCTTAACTGCTCTGTTTTCACTGTTTTCTGAAATACTGGATAATTGGATTTAGTCAGGCTTAAATGGATTGCTCTAGATTKTAAGCATCAGTATCCACATGCAGTGTTCCAGAAGAGCAGGAGAACCTCTGTCAGTCTCAACATGTTGCTCAGATGAGGTGGATTTCATCCCTCCAAAGACAACTGCTCACAAAGCTCACACTYACAGGTGATGTGCTTAGAGCAGGGATTGAGCTGATATAAACCAGGAAAAGTGAGTGACAGCACGTTTGTGGGGATTTCACCCCAGGAGTTAGATTGTCATGAGTATAGACAGGAAACTGTGGATTCAGAATGAAAATAAGAGCCTGTCTGAAAAGAATTTTTCAAGATATATAAAATCAATTCCTATTGCCACTCAAACATTCTGTTTCAGTGCTGGTGGGGCCTTAATGAACCTACAGCTTTTGCACTAAGAACAAACAGAGTGAGCTGAGGGATGAGGTGAGAACAAGGTTCAGCTTACCCAGGGTCCTGCCGTGGAAGCCGCCCATGAAAGAGAGCATGGCATAGTCGGGACAGCCAGGGGGCTGCAAGCAGAGCAGAGCACACAGTGAGGTCAGTGAGGGCTCACACACCCCAACTTGCTCCTGAGCTGCCCTCTGCAGCCATCAGGCACCACAAATTGTTACAGCCACCCCTAGAACCAATTGGTCACCCCCTAGAAGCTGCCTGACCTCCCAAACCTGTCATTAACACAAAGGAATCCCTGGTGTTTCACGCTGTGTCCTGACATCACTGCACAGGTGAGCTCACACAAGGCTGAGCCTCCAGCACAATCAGCCCCTATAAAACACAATTTAGGAGCAGCTCTTTATGGGGTGGCTGTGGGGGCTCAGCAAGGACAGGCTGGGGCTGCCCTGTGCTGGACCCCTGTGCATTCCTGAACACTGGCTGATATTTGTTAGGACCACTCTGTGCTTCACCAATTCCTAAATTTACAAAACCCAGATTCCACCTCACATATAGCAACCCAAACCTTTCCTCCCAATCTCCCCTTACAAGCCCAAATCAGTGGTATACCTGCAGGAGTGCTAAAGAACAAATGTTACCTGGTTAATCATGCAAGATTCCAGTTCTTCTTTTGTGACACTATTATGGCCCCTCTCCTTATTCTGCAAAAAACCCAAACAATCCAACATGAGCTCTTCTGTAGTTGTAACCAATGCATTTATGGCTGAACCACAAACCAGTAATGCTGGTATTCAAGACTGGAGTCAAGGAACACCCTGACTATGGCTTTCACATACTGACTGCAACCTGCATTTTCCTGATTAACTTGCCTTTATAACTTCTAAAGTTGTGTCAATAYAAAGAAAAAGCTTAGATGAAGACTTTTTAGTAAAGATTTTTTACTAGATTGAATATAAAGAACATCATGAGAAAGACAACCACCAAGCCTCATTTTGTTTTACAGTAAAAATTCTGATGAATACTTATTTCTACAAACCTAAAAAAACACCTTAATATTTTACTTACTCTGTACCACATGAATATTGCTTTAAAGGCATTTTCATTAGARCAGGATCCACAAGACATGGTCACCACCTGTGACAGACCCTTAGGAGCCACCTGTCAACAAGSACAGAAAATTACTCTGAAATATTGAGCACGAGTATTGTGCAAAGTAATAATAACACTGATAATAACAGGGATCTGTCTTCAGCACCATGAATTTCGGTATAGTGGGAGACCAACCATGCCTGGGGTGAGGAAAGGCAATGCCAACTGCAGCTCAGAGGGCTGGGCTCAGTTCCAGTCCCAAGGATCTTCCAATTTCAATCAAGACAAAGAGAAGCCACTGGTCCCACCATCTCCCATGAAAGCACAGTGAACAGGCATTATTGAAACTGTGTTTTCTCGTCAGCTCTCTAGCCCAGAAGGAAAGAGGCTGCATCTGTGCAGAACTGACATGCCACTTTCTCACATTCAGCTGTCAGTTTGGGGAAAAGGGTTTGATCTCATTTCTTGCAGTGGGAAGGCAATGAGAGAACRGTTACTCTGTGGGGTTCCCTAGTAAAACCCATAACAGCCCTTGATATGCCCTGTCCCTAAACCCAGAGCATGGTAACTCATCACAGCCATCTCAAACTTACTGATAGCAAAGACTCCTTCAGCTTTTCTGTAAAGTTCTCTGGAGGTAAAATSCCTAGGGCAGGTCTGTTGATGAAAGCGCTCTAAAAAGACAAAGGAAGAGGAATTATTATGCTTTACTATCACATTGAAAATATGCTGATATCAAAGCAGTTACATTTTATTCTGATTTTATTCTAATTATTCACAGGCAGAAATCTGTATCATGGCACAAGGAGTTTTAAGCTAGGGATTAACATTCCTGCCTTAGCATATGTCTTTCTGTCTAATCTTGACTGTTTTATTCTTGCAGGACACCTTAGGAAAGGTGCACGCTAACTCATACTGACATTTCCTCTTCAATACTGCCATTTCATTTGCTCAATCGCAATTTTCCTTGTACGCAGGAAATATGCTTTAAAATCTTGATGGCTTGTTTTCACTTTGAGTAGCTAAATTCAGTTAATATAGCAGCATTTTCATCCTTACTGAGCTTCAAGACAGACTTTTTTTGAACACTGTGGTTATAAACATCCTTCAGATACTGCTGCAGTGGGATTTGGGGGAACAAGGCAATGGGAAAGTGACAGAATAGGGGCTACATCTGAGAAGGATAAAGACTCATGMAAAGGTCAGCAAGACAACACTACARTCAATAGATTTGTGATAGAAAACCTGTCCCCACAGGCATGCTGCCTGCCTTCCAGATCCCATGGCATGGACAGAGTGGGCAGCACAGGGAGCAGAGAGGAGCTGCCCTGCTTGTTATTGCCTCACTCTCAGCAACTTGCATTTAATCAGCTCAGGGTGATACATCCAGACGTGTGGAAATCCCTTGTCACCAGGTGTTGTTGTCATGAAGCTCACTGATCAGCAGGCACCTATTCCCTGTTGTAGGGTTTTCAGGGAGCACAGTCACTGTGCTGGTGCCTCAGCTGAGCTATAGGGACAGTCCTCACTGGGCAGGACAGAAGAGCATTTCCAGCTTCCCTGTTTTCTCTTTTCATCTCCTGACCAAGGTCTGACACGGACCAGCAGCTGCTCATGCTGAAATAACATTCAGTGGGATTCCACACCCCACTGGKAACTTCCAGGCTGAACTCATGACTGCTCTCCAGAATTCTTTTCTCCAACCATTCCCTTTTCCTGCCTGTCAGCAGAACTGAATCTGCAYTGCTGCAAGAGCCCTGGGAATCACAGATGTGATAACAGGGATGCAATGCAGCCTTCCCACACCACAGCATGGGGAGGCTATTGGGAAGGTGGGGCCAGGCTCCAGCTCTTCACTGGGAGATGGGAAACCATGGCCATGAATCAAAGCACCAGAGGTACTGATTTGGGTACAGCAAGAATGTTTTTCAGCAACAGAACAGWGAAGCAGCAGAACAGGCTGCCCTTCTTGGATGTTTTTAAGGTCTCAGAGCCCTGAGCACCTTGATTCATCTCACAGCAGCCCCTCTTGGAGCAGGAGGTTGGCCAAGACACCACATGAGGTCCCTTCCAACTTCAGTGGTCCCCCCRGTGCTGTGAACTGGCCACATCAGGATTCACACCTCTGGGAAAGGTAATTTTGGTGTCAGTGAACAGCAGCCTGCTGCCTACACAGGGGTTTCTAAAAAGCAGCTCTGGAAAAAGCCCCAAAGCCTCCTCAGTCCACTAATAGAGATGAATGTTACATTTATGCAATTAATTTAAATTGTGTCATGGGTTAGAATTGATTCATTGCTGCTTTTAGTCTTTGTGGGCAATCTTATTTGATTCATACCGTGCTCCTCTTTATTTCAAATTAAATTTTCTCATAAAAGGACAAGCTCGATAAATTTGCCAACTGCAAAGCAGCTTTATTTGCCCTTTTTTCTTGTTTGCTGTTTTTTTTTTGTTGTTGAACAAGTAATGGCTCAAATTAAAGGCTGAGTTTCGATAACTTAAGTCTTAATGGGTCTCCAGAGGGGACAGCCTCCCCCAAAAAAATTCTTATTTTCAGTGCAGCTCAAGCTTGCACATTTATCAGCATCCTTCAATCCTTCTTCTTTATCAGCATCCTTCAATCCTTCTCCTCAACACAACATTCATCCCAAGACATGTGAGGCACAGCAAGAGGTGTAAGTGGTCACACTGCACCTGTGAGGACATTGCATCAGAATTTTTGGGCAAAAACAAGCACCACACATGACAGAACACTGCATGAACTAGGACTTTGTGAACTGTCCAAGTGTGCTAAATCCAAATCTGTTTCAACAGATTCAAGCTTAACAGAAAACCTAAGCAAAGATGTTACTGACAGGTTAACATAAAGTTTTTATTTTGTAGCTATGTGAAATCTTCCTTGGCTTTTTACCTCAGTTCATAAGTAAATTTTCATATCAAGTTAAAGAGACGAGACCATAAATTTGTTGTGAAATTGATTATGGGCTGTCACAGTCAATTGACAGCATTTGCCATTAAGCACTAAAGTGTATTTTTTCTTTTGTAGTTAATGAGATACCCAGAACTGAGAAAAACAGAACATTGACATCAAGCTGCTGTGGACTCAGATAAACAGATGCACATTCTGTGTTTATAGAAGCTGGCTATAAAGAGAGCATGTGGAGCATTACAGACAAACCAAATAAGAAGTCTCTGCAAGAAAATGGCAATCCTTTTACTAACACTAACCACAGTTGTGCCACTCGTGTGGGACTTTGGAGGAGTTCCTTCACTGCAGGCTTCCAGGAGAGTTACCTGCCCTTCCCCAGTGGGCAAATGAGCAACCAGCAACAGGACTTTTTGGTTGGTGGTTTTTTTCTTGTTTGTTTTTTTTTTTTGTTTGTTTGTTTTATTTTTAAATTGGTTTGGGGATTCTTGTTTGTTGGTTCTTTTTTGTTTGTTGTTTAAATCTGACTTTGCCTATTATTGCATTATAATGAAGATATTTTTCCTAGAAATCATCTTTATGAGTTAACATAAGTATTTATAAATATTAGAAATTCCTAAACTTCCCCCAGCATTCCAGATGGAGGGCATCATGTCCAAGACACTCTACTCTCTCTCAAGGTCTTGTGCTTGCTCTCAGGCTCAAAAATCTTCACTCAGAGAACATTATTAAAATGGTTAATTGGAGACACTGTGTTTGATTTAAATCTGTTTGCAAACACATCAAGTGCTTGCATCACCCCAATGTTTACTTTTTGTAAAACTTCCCAGAGGTTTTGGTGTGTTCTTAAGCACTACAAAGCTCTTTTCATCTAGTRAGAAGTAAAACAGGCAGATCCTATCATACATTAAACTGAATCATTAGCATTCACTATCAGTCTAAGGAAAAAAGAGAAAGCTCACAACAAGGAGGGAGAGAAGTGCTTCACATACTTAATGTTTTMATTCACTTACCAGGTTCTGTGGCTGCTGTAAAAGCTTTATCAGAGAGGGATGGCTGTAACCTAATTAAAAAGAACAAAGAAAACAGTTCTATCTGGTTTCAATAAAGTAATGCAAAGCATAACCTAGAGAACAACCTTAATGCTTGACTCTTTMTGTGTAACTGGTATAGTTTTAACTACTAATAATAGAAGTTTTTTTGAAGTAGGACAAACRTATGGGCTTTTTGTCCCTCTCACRACCAGCTTTTTTTTCCCCTTCCCAWTTCCTTACTTTGACAAATTTTTGTTTGGAAAAAGAAACAACAATTTGTCATTTTTACTAAGAAACTAAGATAGCTTCAATTTTAACACAATGAAGGTGCTTAATTTATACCCATTGACATTCTGAAGAATAACTTGCTTGGTTACAGGCAAAACCAATTTATTTTTCATAAATAAAAAAACCCCCAAACTTCAAAGGAGGCCAGAATTTTCATTTTAAGCCTGATCTCTAATGTATGAAATGCCAAAGCTAGAGATTAACATCATCTTTTAAATTTCCTTGTACAAACAGTTGGAAACCTCATCTTCCCTACTGCTCAAGAAGTCAGACSATGCTAATTATGTTACAAAAGCTTATTGTGCCTCTGAATCCTCATTCCAGTGGAATGACAACAACCCTGATTATCCTTTTGAGCAATGGAGCATTAGGCCACTATGTTAACAAATCAATTATAAATTCAGTTTTGAATATTTTAGCTGAAAACAAAAGAATATCCATATTGTTTTAGCTGCATGTCATGCTGATAAATCTGTTAAAATTATTATGAAGATAATAACAGTGGCCCTTTGGGACACAGAACAACTAAATCTGCATGGCATCTGCTGTCATGGGAAGAGTTGTTGTTCTGCTAGAGGGAATGACACACTGAGAGCTGTGTCCTTGAGAACTGCACCTGTGGCTGCCTCTGAGAGTAAATCCAGTTTTTTAGAGCTCTCCAAAGTGCACAGAAGTTTGTTATAAACAGCTACCACTGTTTAGGAAGCTCAAGGATCAGCTTTGGCTTGTAAGAACTTGTAATCCTGTTGCCAGTGTTACCATAGGGGAAGATCTTTGTATCTYCTCTACTGTAACACAAACTGCTGTTATCCCTTATTTACCCTTTTCCACCCACACAGGATCTCTCCTGTTGTCTTCACTTCAGGCCAGTGGTCTGCTCTTCCTCCCAACACTCCCTACTCCTTGTGCTTCCTCAAAGAGGCCCCAGAGAAGGAAGAGAGGATCCTCARAGCCTGACTGCTGTGAAGGAGTGTGACAGARGCTGAGCTGGCACRGGGGGTGACAGTCAGGGACCAACASCAGGAAGAAGGAAATGGTTGAATAACCATTATATAAYTGTGGTAGACAGGTCCAACAGCTCCAGGCTGGCATGGCAAACAGGCACTAACTCGTTGCAGTGCCATGACCAGCACAAGGGTTTGCAGCTTTACAAATCCACTCTCAGAGGTGAGAGAGCCTGCTCTGAGGGAAGGGCACCTGCCCCATCACTCTTGTTGTGTGTCTGGATCAAYGTGACAGGAACGTACATGTCCTCCAGGCTCATGAATGTGCCTGTCTGCAACAGGAAAAACAACTAGAGCCTGCTAAAATAATGAGATGGAGAAAGGCAAAGAATCATTTGAACTGAGCAGCAGGCTGCTGTCAATAATATCAAACTACACCTGTCTGCATCTCCCTGAACAAAACAGACCTTCCCAGCACCGAAAAAGAAAAACACATTGTTTCATTTGTTATTCCAGGATGTTTGCKGGCCAACACATCAATAGCATCCCCCTTCTGTTTGGCTCCATGGGGTTTCTAACTCTATTAGACAGAATAGATACAGGATGAAAGGACTATGCTGTGCTACAACTGCCCATAAAATTCTGGTAAAAAACWATTTCAATTTTTGTTTTTCAGCAAGAAACAGCCCAGAGCATCTTTGCCTAGAGGTTTTTATACTTTAATTCTTATCTCTCCACACAGGCACTTATTACCTCTCAACCTCTGCTGATAAATATATTCTACTGTAACAGATCATTATTAAATCTTGGGGAGTCCTGACAGATTCATGAAAGGTTTTATTGGATTTACTTGCAGACAGATAAGCACAGATGACTAACAAGCACCTTGTGATCTTGTTTTGCTTTCCCAGTCCAGGCCCTACCTCTGTCACCAAGAGGGACATTATTAGTAACCTGGGCAGCTTCAGATAGTCTTGTCATTCAGTACAACTGAAACATATAAATTAATGTTGTGTGTCAGGCTTAGGTCAACCTGTAAGTATTAMATTTCCATTTACTCTTTGTTGCTTCACATCCCAGAGCCATTATCTGAGAAGGTGTATGAAACACTGTACTGTAGCTCCTTTGGGACTGAGGAACACGTTTGCTTGGATAAAAACCCAGCTTATCCTCAAGAAGGCTGGAAGGAGGAATTGCATGGCTTAGCAGGGTCAGTTACAGTACTGGAGTCTTGAATCTGTATCACCAGTTTCAGTCAACCAGAGAAAGAAAACTGCAGAAGCCCCTGCCCATTTCTCCCTATTAAGAAAATATTTCTCTCTAATTATTTAATAKTTATACACAAAACTATAGTAAAAAAGGTATGTTTGCACCATCAAGCACCAGAAAGTCAGAAAGCCTCAGTGCACTGCCTGTGCAACCTGAATTTCATTCCTTTGGAGAAAGCATTGACTTTCTCACTTTGGAGTGTGCATTTGTCCACGACTGAGCACTCSTTTCTCCAAATCAGAATTTCTTGTGTGAAGAATGGGAAGCCATGAACACTAAATGCATCTTCTTTCCTAGAAACCTAAAATCCAAGCTCAGTGGCATAGAAGCATTGTGCTCCTCTGTCTCATCCCTATTTCCAGGTGAGCAGTGGCAAAATTATCTCTGAAAGATACAAAACAGTGAGAACTTGTGTTGGGGGAAATAAGCTACAAACAGTGAAGGGTTCTGGAATGATTGCCCTGACTCAGAGCTATGAGACAGCAAAAGCATTGTCAGCAAAGAAGACTGGGACAAGCAAATACCCATTGCAGTCACAAGGTCTTAGATGCCAAAAATTTGGTAACAACCTGAACATCATTAAATTGTTTCCCAGGAAAGGAGGCCTGCAGGGATGATTTTGAGTCATCACAGTTTCTATACATAGCACAAGATCTACCTTTTAAATTACCCAGCTCTTCTACTCTTTTTGCTTCTGCAAAAAGGTAATTTTAAGCAGCTGAGAGGAACCATGGATGAGGAGCAAACAAATCAGAGTGGACTTTTCTCTTACTGAAACCTGTATCCCTTGCAGTTGGGGCTCACACGTCTGCCTTGCTTCTGCTTGAAAAGCTTCACAAGGAAATCAGCTGACTTTCCCMAGCACTCGCCAGGCCTCGTGTCTGCTCCTCAGACAAATGATCTGCCACCTCTGCTTTCAGTCAGCACCACAGCTCAGGGCAGGGGCATGCTTCATCCTGCTCCAGTCCACATGGCTCACTCCCTTTTTATTTCACTCCTTTTTATTTATTATGGAGATAGAAATGTTAACGAAAGCATATAACTTCAGGTTAAAATATCAATGCTATGCTTGGTAATGTTCAAAACTGTAACATAGTGTTACAGAATCACCAAGTGCACAAATCCAATCCAACCTGAATTGTGGAACTTGCACATTCAAATTGACATTAATACTAGAGCTTCTTCCAGGCACTACTGTGCACTTTAAGTGAGCTTTAGGTATTGAATTTGYAGTTTCTTCAGCTGTTCAAACCCAGCACTACACAATACACAGCAGCAAGCTGTCACTGATCACACCAATGTCACCTCTGGTTTATTTAATTAATTAACCAACTTCCCTAGYAGTGCCTGAAAGAAGAAAATGACAGGTTGAGGACAAAGCAAAACATTTTRGTACAACTGCCTCCTACCTATTGGGATGGAAGAAATCTGAGAGTAGAGATCCAACATACGATTGCCATCTACATCTACGAGGTAGTTCCCTCGGCTCTCTTCATAATTGCAAAAGAAGTGCACAGCTTCTGCATTCTTCAAGGAAAAAACAATTAGTGCTTTAAAGAGTGGCAGTATGTAGGAAGGTGCAACTAATGGTTATACAGCAAAATCTGATAAAAATATCTGATGCTAGGATAAAACGACACATTGTATTCATYGCATGGGAATTAACTGTACAGCTATTTTTATAAAGACTGTTAAAAGGGCAAGTTTTACTTTTTCTACAAAAATGAAGCACAGACTTGGAGAAATTGCTCATCTTAGGAAGGCAATATGCACTTAGGCTGACATACTTTTAAACTCAAGCCCAAATATGCCTTGTTTCCACTCTAACAAATTCAAAGTTTTTCTTTAAACACGTATGTTGAAAGAAAACCCCCTGATGCTAGCAAAATGATCTTGCAGTATTCAATATAAACTACAAAAGATTTTGTTCAAATGCACATACAAGCTACATATAATATACTCAGTGTGGAAAGCCAGAGTGTGGAAAGCCAGAGTGTGTGTTTCACCTTTTTCTGTGACACGCATACAAATAGGGATTTTAAAACAAGTTCTGAAATTAAACTATTAACACCCTCCAAAACACAGAAAACTTGACAAATTACCTGAATGCCATTCAGCTTCTTCATTAATTCCTGCAGAAAAACAAATGTCAGAGTCTCAGGTGTGTAATTAGCAAATGGTGATGGAGAATGCATGTTTCTTTTTTATGATCCCATAAATCTTAYGCAAACTTTGTAGTCCTGTGTGCTTACCAGGCAACTCTACCTGCCACAGGAACTTTCATGGTGCATCTTGCAAATATTACAGTCAAAACTATGACCTGTGGCATGMAGAGCTAAACAGGCTGCAAACACAGTTTAACTGTAAATCTCCAAAAAGGGAAAGCTGCCTCTCCTCTAGTGATCAACTGAACTGAGAAAACAAGAGAGGAATCAGAAAATAAGAGAAGCCAGAGTCACATGGAAGGGATACTGGTACACTGGTTTTAGAAAGACAGCTCCTTTTTATTAAAAACAAAACACAAAAAAAACCCAACCAAAAAAAACACCAAAAAACCCCAAAAAACAAAACAAAAAAAACCCAAAAAACAACAAAAAAAAAACCCCACCAAACCCAAAACACATCACATGCACAAATACTGACTCTGCCAGAGTAAAACAACACCCAGTAAATTGACTCTTGCTTTATTTCAAAACCAAAGTGTTATTTTACAAAATAAAAAGCCAAATGATGCTCTTTTGCTTTTAATAGTTCCATATGGGAACTTGGCAGTTGAGATTCAGATCTGCCTCTCAGAAGGGCATTTCATTCATTCATTTCATTGAGCTTTTTATTCTCAACCCTCTGATAGAAGTGAGTATAGACTTATGGAATCATGTTTAATAATAAAAGATTTAAGGTTTGAAATGAAATCTGTTTTCTAGCAAGTTAGACACAGGTAWAGATAAAAAAACCCCAAGTTACTGTACTTTGGAAACTTACTCTAGATCGTGGCCCAGGAACTTCTGTTTTCATCAGAGGTCCATCATAATCAAAATCCACGTCAATTTTAGCTGCAGCTTGACTGATATACCTGTGTCCTGAAAAAAATAATGAACACCTGAGTACAGACCATATTTTCTGTGCTCTCAGAAGATACCTTGCCTGACTGAGAACACTTGATAGATGAGACCAATTACATTGAACTGTCTGAAGGGAACTATATATCTCATCTTTGACCAGTCTTAAAATAAAACTAATACCAGTGAGGTGGCTTAAAAAAAATCAAGGGAAATGACAAAGCAACCCTAGAGAATCAGAGGCAAATCCTGCTGTAAAGCACAGAGTGTGAGCATCTGTTTGCATCTCTCTTGTTGAGTCTGTCCATTACCCCCTCTGCAAACCTTTGCCATGAATTCATCACCCCTATGCAGAGATGGTTCAGTGAACTACCAGTAATAACCAAAAAGCCTAAAGGAGTCCACAGGAAAAATCTGGTATGATGCTCTTCAATAGCTCAAAGAGCATTCTTTGGGAAAGATTTGTCTCAGAAAGGTAAATACATGGCTGTGAAACATGAAACCAGCATCCTGCAGTGCAGCTCTGAAATCTGAGTCCCAATCAGTGACAATTTTCCTTCTGATCTTGCTTGTTTTTACCCACATGTAAATGGGGTAAAATTTTACGTGGGTAAAATTCCCACGTGTAGGGAATCATAATAAACTTGACACCTTAAWGAAACCAAAAAGGCAAAAATCTCCTGTGGTTTACCAACAGCAGGCTCTGCTTCCCTTTCTGAAATAACTGTTTTAAAACACAGGGTTTAGGCAGACTTTTTATGATACAGAACAGTTCTGCTAATCATGACTTGCAAATATRTACATATTCTATTAAGGAGATAATATGGGGATTGTACATTTGCAAAAAAAGTAAGTACAGACTCCAAAACTCTACCAAGGTGACCAGCAAGAGACTAAGAGCTTGTTCTGCACGCTGTGGTTACATGTTGAACTAAACCATTGCTTTTGACAATTGCATTTTTGTCATGGAGCATCTGCACGCCCCTGCCCAGCACGCTATCAACAACAAATTGATCTTAATACTCTTAACTTGGGGGTATCATACTTGGACCCAAAAGAAGAGGGCATATTTTTTTTTTATATCTGTGATAGGAATTTTTAARCTGGTGCAATTTGGATGGCGCAAAATGAAGGTCCGGTACTCTCCTTGTCACCGGCTGCAGCTCAGAACTGGGCTCACCATGGAAAGTCAGACAGCACCAGCTCCTGCCTGGGGCACTCGGAGCAGCAGGGCTGAAGTCACCACTCAGCACACCCTGCTGTGCCAGGGCAGGGCTGCCAGGTGCCAAACTGATAAAATGTACCCCAGTTGGGCAGAGGGGCAGGGAGGGAGATGTCTGGGAAGGCAAGCCAGCACTCAAACACACAGAAAGCCCTTGGATGTCGCACTGCCACCAGAAACCCTGGCAGCACCAGCCCCTCTGCGCTCCCATCCATAACCACCTCTCACTGGCAGAGCTCTGTGTCAGAAATGTACCGAAAATGTTTTGTGTTTGGAAACAACGGCTGTGAAATAAACCAAATGTTTGTCAAGGAAAACAGAAGGTATCGTGCCATACTGCTTGAGCACAGCCATTCAGCCAAAATTTCCAACAGTGACTCGAGGCACTTGCCTCAGCTTGTGTCAGCCCAAGCTGGGATGTCTCAAGCAATCCTGATTTTGACAAACTATCTGGAAAATCACCGCCCTTTGAAAGCATCTGTAACCGAGCACTTAAAGTCACTGCTCACCCGGGGAAAACTTAGTCTGCAAAGATGATTATTCTCCCCGGCTTTAATTCAGTGCCTCTCTGCAAAGCTATTAATAGGTTTCGTTACAGCAACACCATTTTTGTGTCATTCTGTTTAACATTCATGTAAATTGGAGACTGCATGGCAACTGCTCCACTGAGGAGGAAAAAGTTACGGCATATAAAAAATCAAAATCTCCACAATTCACAGGCAATATGGCTGCAGGTTTAGTAGACACACTCTCAAGTCTAAAAGGGGAAAAGAGACCAAACAAACTCTTTTGTGCACCCATTTTTGTGCATCCACCCCAAGAGAGATCACAGCAAACCAGTTGCAAATGTTTCTGCTTTTCCTATGTCCCCTTCTCTCCCTCCCTCCAGGCTCTGGGTGCTATTTCATATGACAAAGGGGAAAGCACCAAGAGGCACAAAACATACAGGAGATTTTGGGACTCAGCACGAACGGGAAAGATACAGAAGCCCAGAATCATATTTGGAACCATTTGACATAGTGCAGATTCAAGACAGGTGAGCTATAATCTGCATGCTCAGTCTTTCTCATCCTCCTCCTCCCCTCCCTGCCACCACATCCCCTCTATTCACCTCCCAGGGTCCTCTCATCCAGAGAACACCTTCTTCCTTAGTCTTTTCAACTGTGTTCTCACAAAAATGCACTTCTTAAAGATTTCCTCTTCTGCAAACACCCAAGCCACTCCTGCAAGCATGCAAAGTCCTGACTGCCAGGCTCTAAAACCCAGAGCAACAGTCTTGGCCATCCCCTGGTGGGGGTGRATAACATTTCCCCTCTTCTGCTTCCCTGAAGGATGATCTGACAAATATTTTAACAGATAAGGATTCYAAATTAAACACAAGTTCAATTATTTATCTAAGCAAGGATAGAGAGATACTGCAAAGGGCATGACCTCCCCTAAAAACACTCCWGTTTACAGAGCTCCATAACAGGGACTTCAGTTGGAGAATATTTTAATCTTGCCCTAACTTGTTTAACAGCACAGGTCAAGAGGAGGTTGCTTCCTTCAACCAGGCTGTGTAACAAGGAGCCAAGCGGGTCAGTCTGCTTTGTAAATCATCATCATCATCATCATCATCATCATCATCTTTTTGCTGCTGTTTATGCCAGTCTCTTTGCACAGCAATGTTGAGCCAGATATCTAAGGCACATCTGAGTTTCCAAAAATGAAGAGCCCTTTGCAGTGCAGTGCTGCACAATTCCCACTGATAGATCCTGTCTATCGACAGGTTTCAGACACAGCAAAACTGGTCAAGTGAAACCAAAACATACAGGTCTGTCTAGAAGAAGAGTTGATTTAAAGATGATTTTTATCAAATCAGTAATGTTGGTCAATTTGTGAGATATTAGTTTTTTAAACAAAAGCTTCAGGGGCAGCTTATCCAAGCCACCATAATTTTCAATAAATCTGTGAATCAGAGCCAGCTAAAAACAGCAACACAGGTGAACAGGCTTCCCTGCTCTTGYTTGTTATATCCTAAAGCCCATTACAGGCCATCAGGCGCTACAGGAAAGTGATTTCTAGGCTGATTCACTGATACAAATTTAATTTCACATACTTGTTTTCAGGAGCCCACAGAATATCTCATTTTATTAACTCCAGGATAATGGCAGCTGTACCCATTTATTGATCTTACACTTGCCAAAGCATTGTTCCACCTCCTGGTTCAGACAAACATTGTGGCTGGAATCTGAAGGGACAGCTTGCCATAAACAAAACAAAAATGCCCTGTGTCACCAGATCAAAGGATTTTGAAAAGTGGTGTTTTTTTTTCTTTTTCTTAGGTACAGGATGAATAATATATGCCATAACAAAACCCTCAAAACCTCAGAACTCCAACACACTAGCAAAGTTTTGATAGTAAAAGCGAAAACCAAAGTAGACTGAATCCTCAAACTTTATTTTTTAGTGAAGCTCTTCTCCTTGTGAGAGCATAATAAATGATTGGCATAAACTCACACAATTTCTAGCAAGGTCAGTGGATTTATTCCAAATAGCCCACTTCACTACTCATCAGACAGGCACACTTGTTCACAGGGTTGATTAAAAATAAACAAAACAACCCAAATTTTAAGACCACAGAAACACCGTTCCCCCGTTTGCCCCATTTTAGCTATTTTTTCTTTTTCTTCCCTTACTCTTATTCAAGCAAATTGGGATTCTGATCAGAAATTGCACTGACAGTGCAAGTGGTGGCTCCTGACGAGCTGTGTGTGACTCTGGGGGCACACAGAGGTCTGGGGACACACACAGGTGGCTCTGGGGACACCCACAGGAGACTCTGGGGACACACAGAGATTTGGGGCATGCACAGGTGACTCTGGGGGCACACAGAGGTTGTGCAGCCCCAGCACTCACATAAGGAGCTCTCCTCAGCTAAGGGCACCTGACAGCACAGACACAAACTCTGTTACTGCCACAGAGCACATGAATTTTGCAGCCCAGTGCTACCTTGGTGCTCAGGGTCCTGTCAGGAAGCTCATGGTGACAAAGGCAAGGAAGCAGAGCAGTTTGGAGTAGCTGAGGACTGGCTCAGCTGGAAGWGGCAGTTTTGTGAGCACAGGGCATGGCCCCAGCACTGCTCCCCTTCCCAGAGCCCATTTGCTCCCAGCCCCAGCACWGCCCTCATTCTGCAGGCCAGACAGGGAGCTCAGGCTCTCAAAAGGCACCAACGTCAGAGCCCGGCTCAAAGGCAGCCTGGGCACCCCCTGCCTGAGCACTCACCATGTTTCTGGCATCCCCTGCTCCAGATCCCCTGCAATGCTTTGTCCTCCAGCCCCTGAAGAACAGCAGGACACGGGTGCTGCCTCCTGCCTCCCCGTGCCTGTAGCTGCTCTCCTGCAAAGGCTTTCCCAAGCAYTGGGACATGGTGATGGATGGCTGCATCAATACCTGCTTTGTTTAGCCTCGAGGAGGATTTCAGGCTGTGCTCTGTCTCCTTTGCTTCCCCCCAGCCCAAGCATCAGTACCACAGCCTCCTAATAATGCAAGTAAATGCAAATAAATCAGGTCACTCACTGTAGTGTTTCATCCCCTGGGAAACTGCAGGAGGCTCTGCTCAGCTGACATTTCTGTCTTGAAGGTACTCAACAAGCTTTACAACTAGCCCAAATTTTTCCTGTATGACTTTTAAACATCAATTTACCCTGCAAYAGAGACCCTGAAGATACAGTGTAATTCAGGCTACTCCAATCTGATAATTAGGAGTCCTAGACATTTGAATGCCAGGCCTGGATTTCTGCCTCCCCAAAAGATAGCA